AAACTTTGTTGCTTTCAGTGAAGCTCAGAGCTGACCTTGGCAGGCAGGGAACCTTGGCTTCCTCCATCACTGGAGTAAGAAAGCCTCCTGCTCGCTCCAGCTCTGTGGCTGCCGGCCACCATCTTGGTTGGGTTAATTTGCATACAGTCGCTCTGATTAGCTGGTGGGCGTGGCTTAAGGCGTAGCAAAAGTACAGTCAATTTGCATGTTTGTCTTTTATTAGTATAGGATACCAGTCCATTGTTATTTATGTAGCTTGCAAATATTTTCTCCCCATCTGTAGCTTGTCTTCTGATCCTTATTGGTATCTTTCATAGAGCAAAAGATTTTAATTTTGATGAAGTCCAATTTATCATGTTTTCTTTTATGAATCACACTTTTGATATCATGTTCAAGAACATAAAGGGCATAAAGATCTCCTGTTTAATTAAAACTTTTGTAGTTTTACATTTAAATCTATGACTCATTTTGAATTTTTTGTGTAAAGTCTGAGATTTAGGTTGAGACTCATTTTCTTGCATATAGAGGCTAGATATCCAAGTGCTCCAACACCAGTTACTGAAAAGACTACTCTTTTTCATTCAAATTATTTTTATACCTTTATCAAAAATCACTTGGCCATATTTGTGTGTGTCTCTGGACTCTTCTGTTCCACTAACCTATATCTATCTCTTCACAACACCACAGTCCTCATTCTGTGGCTTTATGTACAGTAGGTCTTAAAACTGGGTAGCATGATTCCTTTGTTATTGCTTTTTAATTAAGAACTGTGAAAGTAACAGTATTCAACAAAGTTGACAGCATCTACATAAAAATTTTTAGTTTCAAATTAGAATCAGTATTTTGGAAATAGGCCAGAAAAAATGCAAATATGAGGGAAAGGAACAGAAAGGAGAAAAAATTAAGTAGGAGAAAACGAAAAGGAAAAAGAAAGGAGGATGAGAGTAACACATGAAGAGATGGGAAGAGAAAAAGAGGAACAGAGAGAGGTAGGAGAATAAAAAAAAATGGCTCCCTATGCATTAGCCTCAAACCACTACAGCTGAGCAAGTGAATGCCCTCTGTAAACCATGAACACCTTCTGGGTTCTCAGTACTCACGAAGCCAGCATTAGTAGTGAGAGCAGGTCAAAGGCCAGGTATAGGCTCCAGACCCCGTACCCCATCCTGCTAAAGATCTACACTAGGCCAAACACTTTCCTTATTAAATGGCCCAAAACAATCAACTATCATATTACATACTTGTATTTTTATATAACCCATTATATTAAGTTTAAATAATCCTATATAATAAAAGCCTAATGTGCAAATTGTTCCCTCAACCGGGAGTTCAACTGGGAGATCGACCACTCGCTGTGACGTGTGCTGACCACCAGGGGGGAGGAGCAGAACATAGTGGGCGTCAGCAATGGGACGCTGGCAGCGAGTGGCAGTGGAGGCACTGTTGGCCCCGATGGGCCCCAAGCCCCGGGCTGGGACGGGGAACTGGGGGTGGGTGGCGGCAACCAACCTCCTGCGGCACCCGGGCAGGGGGCCATGACCTCTCACCAGCTACCAGGAGGCAGGGATGACGGAGACGGAGACAGAGGTACAGTGAGACTCCACCGAGCTTGCTCTCACTCCCCCTGCCACCCTCTCCCGGACGCCAGGGCTCGTGCACCAGGGAAGCCCCCATGCTTCTGTGGGTTCGGGCAGGAGCTGATCTGCACAGCTGGCTGGGAGTGAGCGCGCTGCCCACCCAGCTTCTGTATGGCACCGCTGGGCAGCCAAGAGGCCCACTCTGTACCCCAGCCCACAGCATCCAGCTGTGCTCACCGCATCTCCACATGGAGACTCAGGCACCATGACTCAGGCAGAGGAGGGTGCGCGGGGGGCCGAGGGCCCATGTGCTGCCCAGGGCCCGGAGGTCAGCTGAGACCTGCCCTTCCACACCAGATGCTCACACTTCAATCGCCGGCCAGGCCTAGGGACTGTACCCATTCACGAATTTTGTGCACTGGGCATCTAGTCCAACATAATAGTCTGTTCACATACAAATAGGGGGAGATTCCATGATCAGTATGAAATTTCTTTAACTAGAACATTCCTAGTATTTTATTTAGATAATTCAAAGAGAAAAGTGTCTGGTTTTCTGAGGATGAAATACCCACCTTGTCCACCTTACAGGGATGTCATGAAGATCAAATGAGATCACGGAAGGGAAACTGCTTCAAAAGTTAAAATTTCTTATAAAAATTCAAGATAGTGTAACTGGCTCTCCTCAGCAGAAAACTAGGGCCATGAAGTTTTGTTAAGGCACCGATGACAGCATCTGACTCAACTCTGAGGACCCTTTGGTGAAATTTAAAATTATCCGCACTAGAAGCAAATCCAGAACCTTTCTAGTCACCAGTATTCGTAACAGGAAATAACTCTGGGCACTTCTCTGCAACATCTCTTCTGATTATTATAAACAATTATGCAACAAGTTTGACACATCATAGGTGCTCTATAATTTTCATTCCTTTTTACCCAGCAAGAACTCTCAGCTGCACATGCCAGCCTTTTCATACAACTTATAAAGGCTCCTCTTCTATAAAGCCTGATATTTAGAATCATGTTCTGGAATTTCTTCACCTTATTGACTCTCCATCTATTCTCAAATCTAATCTTCCTCTAGCTCCTAATCTCCCTTGTCTGCTTTCATTATAATTTGGCTGTAGTGCTATTCAACCACGAGCAGCATTGGAAATGGGGCAGGTAGGGCAGTCTGCCCTACTCTTCCCTGGAGCACTGGCATGTAATGGTGATGATCCTGAGCACTAGTCCCAGAAGCTGTATGCATGCAACAGCTGCCTCCACACTCATTAGCTTACTCTCCAGTCAAGGCATGTGCTCCTTAACAAGTGATTTACTAGTACATGTCTACACATATTTCATCCCAGATTAACCTGAGAACATCAAACATCAGGGCTTCACTTATAGAACTTCCACTCAGGAAAAGGGAAGATTGTGAGTATTCAAGTGGTAAATAAGGAAAGAAAATACTGCTCCCTTACGACTCAAATATTCTATAAGAAAAACTGGATCATTATTTCATGAACAAATTTAATCCATGCACACTGTTTTTTAAAGGGGAAACATGGGGAAGTCTTCATATTGAAGGAACATGCCCTCACAGTCAGTGCTGGGTGGCCAGCTCCTAGAGCACGATCCTATTTTACAGTTCTGATGACTCTCAGTGCCTCATGGAACTCAACGAGAGGTGCCCAATGTAGGGTGACAATAGAACAGATTGGGAGTTGCTCATCCAGAGAAGCTTGTAGCAGTGTGCTGGCTAAACATCGATGGGGTACAAGCAATTAGAGTTTCCCAAGAAAAATGATCACTGAAGAATCCCCAATGAAGTGCAGCATGTGGAACCAGGACTAGAGTTGATGCTAATAAGCACTATGATCGCAGAACAGGCTAACATCACGCACAATCCTAATTAAAAGTTGGATCAGCAAGTCAGAAATAACTGCCAAATGGAGAAACAACTAATTGCCCAGATGACAACTTGATATCTAGAAGCTGAAGATTGCTGATGAAACTCTGTGAGGAAATTAGATTCTAAACAAATAGTAACGTCTGGTCTTGGCCTTGGCACCCTCTCCGTGCTCGTCAGCCTTTCTCAGTAGCTAGTCTTGAAGAAGCCAAAGAAATTATTGAGGTTTGAAAAAATCAGGTTTTCTCTACTCAAACCAGGTGTCCCAGTGGCCTCCAAGTGTCCTCAATAAATGTATTGTAAGAGGATTCCTTAGTTTTCTGGGGCAGGCTGCCCTACCTGCTCCATTTCCAGTGCTGCTTGCAGTTGAACAGCACTACAGCCAAATTATAATGAAAGCAGACAAGAGAGATTAGGAGCTAGAGGAAGATTAGATTTGCAAACAGATGGAGAATCAATTCCTTATTTTGATGTTGTAAAATAAAGCAATTAAGAATCCATATTCTCCATTTTTTTAAATCCCTCAGTTTCTTAGCACTTTGGTAAACCTCTCTGTAGATAACTCAACAATTCTTTTCTGAACTAGTGTGACTTCATTCCCTCTTCAGTCTTCTCCCTTTCCCTGCATCTTAGGTAGGGCCCTTCCACACCCAGCAATAACAGCCTAGTAAGTAGTGGGCATGGAAGGACAAGCAGAGAGATTATCTGGTAGTATGTCCAATCATAAGAAAGCACTGAAAGCCCTAGCCGTTTTGGCTCAGTGGATAGAGCGTTAGCCTGTGGACTGAAGGGTCCCAGGTTCGATTCCGGTCAAGGGCACATGCCCAGGTTGTGGGCTTGATCCTCAGTAGGGGGCATGCAGGAGGCAGGGTATCAATGATTCTCTCTCATCATTGATGTTTCTCTCCTTCTCTTTCTCTCTCTCTCTCTCTCTCTCTCTCTCTCTCTCTCTCTCCCCCTCTCCCTCCCCACCCCTTCCTCTCTGAAATCAATAAAAATATATTTTAAAAAAAAAGAAAGAAAGAAAGCACTGAAACAAGGAAAAATGTTTGAGGAAAAGCAGACATGCACTGCCAGGGTTAATCTGAGACATCAGGGAATTCTAGTATAATTCTTCACATGAGCCCTGAGTTCTGCTTAATGATCAGACCCACTCTGCCACTAGCTCCCTTGAATATGCACCTTCTCATTGTTCACAAAGGCTAACCCAGAGCTACTGTTTAACCTTTTCAGACCCCCTAGGACAAATACTAAGCTATGGTAGCCATCCTTGCAGGTGTGCAAAAGGCATGAAAAGATTCCTTACTCAAAAGTCACTGCAACAAAGGACTGCTATAGGGTGCTCTATGGAGTCGAGAAACATTGCAATCAGTTTTATTGTAACAACACATTGAGTTCTCCACTCAACAAACCACAGGAGAAACATCCTTCCAAGGGACAAAGTAAATTCTTTCACATAAAGAAGTTTCTGACTCGGACAGATCCATTCATCCTCCCCATGCTCCTCCCCTTCAGAGTTTACTGGTTGCTGTTACCTGTACAAGTGACCGTTGTCTTCAAAATCTTCCTGACCCCATTTGCCCTTGATATCTTCAATAACATGATTCTTCAGGAATTTTTTTAGCAGCTGCACCGTTTGTTTGCGGGTCACTTCAGGGCCAAAGTTCTGATTGTACCTCAGCAGGTCATGTAGCCAGTCCACAGCTTCAGCCGCTGTGAAGCAATGTTCGTAACTTTTGAAACGACAACGATGTTTCCGTAATGGCATCCTAGAGCGAAAAAGCTCAACAGTTTCGTTCCACTAGGAGAAAAAGGAAAGGCATTTAGTAATCAACTGATTTTTTTAAAAATATATATTTTATTGATTTTTTTACAGAGAAGAAGGGAGAGGGATAGAGAGTTAGAAACATCAATGAGAGAGAAACATCGATCAGCTGCCTCCTGCACACTCCCCACTAGGGACGTGCCCGCAACCAAGGTACATGCCCTTGACCGGAATCGAACCCGGGACCCTTGAGTCTGCAGGCCGACGCTCTATCCACTGAGCCAAACCGGCTAGGGCTGATTTTTTTTTTTTTTCAGTTTATTGCATCCAAAATATTTCAGACAACAAATGCAATTTTTCCATTTAAAAGGCTGTCTAAATAACAGACGGAGCCTTGAAATTTATGTATTTACAAGCTTCACACTCTTAAGAAGAAGTAAATTTTTAAAATGAATTTATTCAATAAATATTTACTGGAGATATTGCCATCAAGTTGTCCTATAATGTGAATTTAATAAATTTTTACATTAATAAGAAACATACGATTGAAAATAATAGTAAACTGAGATCAATATGCTTAATTCACTTCTTGGAATCCTATGTTTAATATGGCTTTACATCACTCAGCAATTATTTACTGTTTATTCCATAAAAGGCATTATATGGAGAGAGGATAAGAGGTATAGCTCCTGATGTCAAAATATGTTTTAAAATTCTGCAGAATACTTTCCTATTTAAAAACAAATCTAGGGAGTAGTAAAGAGTAAAGGTGCCCAAAGACATAGTGACAGAATATGATTTGACTTTGGGTGATGGGCACACAATGCAAAATACAGATCATGTATCATAGAAATGTACACTTGAAACCTACATAATCTTACTAACGAATGTCACCCCAATAAATTTAATTTAAAAAAGGATAATGTCTGATAGCTAGTACGTGTGTTCAATAAATAGAAAATAGAATGAAGAAATGTGCTTTTAATCTTTCTTTAAATATTTTAATTTTTACATTTATTTATCTTTATTCTTGAGGGTATTACAGATGTCCATCATTTCCTTCCCATTCCCTTCCTCCACCAGGTTCCCACCCCACCACAGGCCTTCACCACACTGTGTCCATGCACTATGCATATATGCATATAAATTCTTTGTTTAATCTCTTCTCACCACCACACTCCCCTTCCCTCTGAGAGCCATCAGTCTGTTCCATGTTTCCATGCCTCTGGGCCTATTTTGCTCGTCAGTTTATTTTGTTCATTAAATTCCACATATAAGTGAGATCATGTGATACTTGTCTTTCTCTGACTGGCTTATTTTGCTTAGCATAATACTTACTCTCCAGGTCCACAAGGCTGGTACAATATTCTCAAATCAATAAATGTGATATATTACATTAACTAAATGAAGGATAAAAATCACATGATAATATCAATAAATACAGAAAAGGCATTTAACAAAATCCAGCACCTTTTTTTTGTGTGCCAGCACCATACTATATAATAAAAGACTAATATGCAAATCGACCAAAAGGCCAAATGGCTGGTCGCTATGATGTGCACTGACCACCAGGGGGCAGATGCTCAACACAGGTGCTGCCCCTGGTGGTCAGTGCACTCCCACAGGGGGCGCACCGCTCAACCAGAAGCCAGGCTCATGGCTGGCAAGTGCTCCTGCCTCCGCAGCATCACTAAGGATGTCTGACTGCCAGCTTAGGCGGGGAGTGAGCCTAAGCCAGCAGTCAGACATCCCCCAAAGGCTCCCAGACTGCGAGAGGGCGCAGGCCGGGCTGAGGGACCCCTTCCCGAGTGCACTATTTTCATGCACCGGGCCTCTAGTTTTTTATAAAAACTCTCAGCAAAGTGGGAATAGAGGATCATATCTCAAAATAATAAAGGCCATATATGACAAACCTTCTTTAACCCCTACAGTGCCAGGGAGCACGATCGTGCTCCTCCTGTCTTTCACCAAAAGTGCCGGGAGCACTATCAAAGCTTTGAAATGGCGTCCAGTTCTAAATCTGCTTTTATTAGTGATGATGATATTGCTAAATATGTCAATGTAGTAAAGGTTTCCTTAAGTTTTTGAATATGTAACTTCATTTACTTGCGATTCATAATTTTTTTCCTAAACTGCTGTAAAATCAGCAAAAATGCCTTGGCAATTTTAGCACAGTTCCTAGGATATTGGTTGGCACTCAAAGGGTTAAATATTTTAAAAGTGTTTTCTTCTGGCTTTTCAATTTGCTTATGTGGTCTCCAGCTTTGGGAAGGTTTTGTTGTTAATGATGTTGTTCTTTAAGGAAACAAATATAATTTTTTTTTCTTTATGGTTACAGGGTTTACTCAGAAAGCTTCCCCAGCCTGAGGTATTAAAAATATTTATTAAATTTTTCTTTTAATATCATAGAGAGGGATTTTATTTTAATATTTGAAACTTCAACTGAAATTTTTTATGGTGGGAGGTAGGAGAGCTCTAACTTTATTCTCTTCCAAATGGAGAGCCAATCATGCCATCATTTTCTCACTGAATTGAAACGTTACCTTACATGTTACCTGTCTTGATTCTAAACTCTCTTTTCTGTCTCACTGATATATGTCATTCCTCTGCAATACTGTAACCTTGTAATTACAGTTAATTAATATTAAGTTTAAATCTCTGATAGGTCAAGGTGCTTATAGTCTTAAAAATTGTTTTGAATGCTCCCACTTTTACTCTTGTGTATGAGCTTTCAACTCAATGCAGTCCCGCTCAGAAAAAAAAATCTGTTGGACTTCTGATTGGATTTTATGTGTTCTCTGATAGCTGCTTTTCATTTCACACTACAAATTTTATAAGATAGCCTTATCAAAGGTTCGTTTCTTTTTTAAAAAAGAATTTAGAATTTATTTATTTTGATTTTGAATGGCACTTATCATTATGGTTTATATTTACTCAACCCAGTGTTTCACCTAGAATTTTCAAAACCTAGTGAGGACCATGGTTTCTGTATCCACTTATTTCCAAATATAATTAAACTAGAGGCCCAATGCACGAAATTCGTGAAGGGGCTCGGCCCTCGCAGCCCTAGCTGCCTCCTGGTCCCGCAGTCCCGCCCACTGGTCATTCCAGATGGTTGTTCTGGAAGGTTGTTCCGCCTTCCAGTCTAATTAGAATATTAGCTCTTTATTATATAGGATGGTTATTTGGCTACTCTGTCAACAGAGAAAAATAATTATCTTTAAATCACCATTCACACATTTTTTTTAATCCTCACCCAAGGATATTTTTCCATTGATTTTTAGAAAGAGTAGAAGAGAAAAGGAAAGACAGAGCATTGATGTGAGAGAAACACATCGACTGGGGGCCTGGGAGGAGATAGGAACCGAGGTACATGCCCTTGACTGGAATTGAACCCGGGGCCCTTCAGTCCGCATGTCAATGCTCTATCCACTGAGCCAACTGGCTAGGACCTCACTTACATTTAGGAAGAAAATGTCCTATGTCAACAAAGAACAAGATAGAGCTTAAGAATATGATCTTCTTCCATAACATATTACTAGTATATTTGAAGAGATAATCTTTATAGAAAGAGGACAGATTTGTTTTATGATTAAAAAACTATTTGTTTTATTTATTTCAGTTCCCTAATTTAAGAAATAGGGAGAACCAAGATGGCGGCATAGGTTAACGCCGGAGTTTGCTGCTTTGAACAACTACTTCAAAAGTGAAACCAAAAAACGGAAGGGACATCACCCAGAACCACAGGAACGCTGGCTGAGTGGAAGTCCTACAACTAGGAGGAAGGAGAAACGCATACGGACACTCAGAGGAGGCGCAGTGCTGAAGTCAAATTCTGAGGTGTGGAGTGCGCGGAGCGGGCTGGCGGCGGAGGGCGCGGTTGGCGTTTTCAATCAGGAGGGAGTCGCAGACTCTGAGCTCCAGATCCGGGCGAGTCTTTAGGGACCCAGACTCAAACGGGAGAAGCGGGACTGTCTGGCTTCGATCAGAGCGAGTGCAGCTTTCTCTCTGAGCTTTGCAGCGGGTGCTGGGACTCAGAGAGGCAGAGCCCCTGGGGACAGGACTGAGAGCCCCCATAACTGCTCTCTCTGGCCCACCCTGTTGATCCTGTGCGACCCGCCCCGCCCAAGCCCTGCACTGAGGCATTTGCCGGATAGCCTCAGGCAAAGGCTAGATTAGAACCTCCCTAGAGGACAGAAGTTCTCTCACTGCTGACACAGCTGATTCTCATAGCCACTTGGCCTGGAGGTCAAACCCTCCCTGGAATTAGCTACAACAATCAAGATTTAACTATAAGACTGCGAACAAAGACCACTAGGGGGTGCACCAAGGAAGCATAACAAAATGCGGAGACAAAGAAACAGGACAAAATTGTCAATGGAAGATATAGAGTTCAGAACCACACTTTTAAGGTCTCTCAAGAACTGTTTAGAAGCCGCCGATAAACTTAATGAGATCTACAAGAAAACTAATGAGACCCTCGATCTTATATTGGGGAACCAACTAGAAATTAAGCATACACGGACTGAAATAACGAATATTATACAGACTCCCGACAGCAGACGAGAGGAGCGCAAGAATCAAGTCAATGATTTGAAATGCGAGGAAGCAAAAAACACCCAACCGGAAAAGCAAAATGAAAAAAGAATCAAAAAATGCGAGGATAGTGTAAGGAGCCTCTGGGACAGCTTCAAGCATACCAACATCAGAATTATAGGGGTGCCAGAAGATGAGAGAGAGCAAGATATTGAAAACCTATTTGAAGAAATAATGACAGAAAACTTCCCCCACCTGGTGAAAGAAATGGACTTACAGGTCCAAGAAGCGCAGAGAACCCCAAACAAAAGGAATCCAAAGAGGACCACACCAAGACACATCATAATTAAAATGCCAAGAGCAAAAGATAAAGAGAGAATCTTAAAAACAGCAAGAGAAAGAAACTCAGTTACCTACAAGGGAATACCCATACGACTGTCAGCTGATTTCTCAACAGAAACTTTGCACGCCAGAAGGGAGTGGCAAGAAATATTCAAAGT